TTCCAGACTCCCCACGCCTGCTGCCCCTTCCCCAGGACCACTCCTGGGGCAGGCAGCCCCCTAAAAGGGGCCCCTGGCCTCCGCCTCCTCACTCAGCCAGGGCCTCTCTGCGGCGTCACCTGACTCTGCAGCCCCGACCCTGCAGGCCCAAGCTCCAGGGAGGCCCTGGCATTTCATCTCAGCTGATACCCATCTTCCCCTCCAGGCCCTTGGCCGGGAGCCAGGCTGCGCCCAGCGTCCCCACGTTCAGGCCCAGACCACGGCCCCTGGCAGCCACCTCCCACCTCACTACCTTCTTGTTCCATGTTTATGTTATTTATTTATCTATTCACTGGTTTATTTTTGCAGGACTGGGAATCAAGCCCAGGGCTACTCTACCACTGAGCTACGGCTCTTTCTATCTTTTCTTTTTGAGTCAGGTTTTCTCACTTGGTTGCCTTGAACTTGCGATCCTCCTGCCCCAGCCTCTTGAGTACCTAGGATGACAGGCGTGTGCCACTGTGCTGTTGTCATGTATGTTATGGAAATGCACAGACCCTGTGGGCGAGAGCAGTGAATTCCCACCAAGAGACACGCATCACCAGCATCGGATCAAGAAATGACAACCAGCTGGGCCTGGTGGCCCAGGCCTGTGATCCCAGCTACTAGGGAGGCTGAGGCAGGAGGATCATGAGGCCCTGAATCAAAAGATAAAAAGGACTGGGGCCATGGCTCAGTGGCAGAGTGCTTGCCCAGCATGTGTGCGGCGCTGGGCACCATCCCCAGTACCTGCTGCCTGTAGGACGTCTATAGAAGTCACAAGTAAAGCCTCCAGAGTATCTCGCTAAAGACGTTTGTCTTGAAGCCAGGCGTGGCGGCCCAGGCCTGGGATCCCAGCTTCTCAGAAGGTGCGGGAGGAAGATCCCCGAGAGCAGGGTTTGACAGCAGCCTGGGCACCGTAGTGAGTCCATCTCAAAATAGACGTTTGCCCATTAGCCTTGGACACTCTCCCCTCCTCCCCACTAGCTGGGAAGCAGCAGCCACCAGAGCACTTTGCAAACCACATGTGGGGGTGGCCGAGGGCCCCACTGCTCTGGAGCGCTGCCCCTGGGACTGGGCTATGAGGCATTATTCTACATTATTTAAGCCTTTTGATTGGGGTCTTTTTGCTGAACTTTAACCTACATAAGTGACTTCCGCCACTCAGCGGCAGGTCTCCTGTCTGATCTTGAGTCTCTCCTTGGACGGTGGCGGGGGCTGGGAGGAGCTGATTTGGGCAGGTGGGCCAGGGCCGCGAGGACAGACTTAGGACCGTTTGCCTTCACTCCATACGACCTCCCTGGCTTCCTCCTGTCATGGCTACCCTGGAGGTGAGC